ATGTGGAGAAAAGGGAATCCTCATGCACTGCTGGTGAAATGTGTACTGGTGCAGCCACTGTGGAAAACACTATTGGAGTTTCCTCAAAAAATTAAAAATGAAACTACCATTTGACCCAGTGATCCCACTTATAGGAATACATACTAAGAAACTAGAAACACAAATCAGAAAGAATATATGCACTTTTATGTTCATAGCAGCACAATTTGTAATAGCTAAGATTTGGAAACAGCCTAAGTGCCCATCAGCAGATGAGTAGATTAAAAAACTGCCCTAGCTGGTTTAGCTTGGTGGATAGTCGGCCTGTGCACATCTATAAAAAAGAAAGAAATTTTTTCTGGGGTAGGATGGTGGAGCAGGTGAACCCAGGCGCCAGTGGCTGTCATTGGGGCAAGCCTCTGGTTGTTATTGAAAATTCTTACCATTTGCAACAGCATAGATGGATATAGAGAGTATTATACTAAGTGAAATAAGCCAATCACAGCATGATAAGTATCACATGATCTCACTCAGAAGTGGGATCTAATGAAGCTGATAAACTGATGAATAAAATAGATCCAGAGACACAGAAGCGTGGAACAGAGTGATGAATTTCAGACTGAAGGTAGAGGTAGGAGGGTGGAAGAAATGTGATTAACTGGGGAACTTATATGCAAATATGCATAACCCATGGACACAGACAATGGAGTGTTGAAGGCGTGGAGAAAAGGGAATCCTCATGCACTGCTGGTGAAATGTGTACTGGTGCAGCCACTGTGGAAAACACTATTGGAGTTTCCTCAAAAAATTAAAAATGAAACTACCATTTGACCCAGTGATCCCACTTATAGGAATACATACTAAGAAACTAGAAACACAAATCAGAAAGAATATATGCACTTTTATGTTCATAGCAGCACAATTTACAATAGCTAAGATTTGGAAACAACCCAAGTGTCCATCAGCATACGAGTGGATAAAAAAGGTGTGGTACGCACATCTATAAAAAAGAAAGAAATTTTTTCTGGGGTAGGATGGTGGAGCAGGTGAACCCAGGCGCCAGTGGCTGTCATTGGGGCAAGCCTCTGGTTGTTATTGAAAATTCTTACCATTTGCAACAGCATAGATGGATATAGAGAGTATTATACTAAGTGAAATAAGCCAATCACAGCATGATAAGTATCACATGATCTCACTCAGAAGTGGGATCTAATGAAGCTGATAAACTGATGAATAAAATAGATCCAGAGACACAGAAGCGTGGAACAGAGTGATGAATTTCAGACTGAAGGTAGAGGTAGGAGGGTGGAAGAAATGTGATTAACTGGGGAACTTATATGCAAATATGCATAACCCATGGACACAGACAATGGAGTGTTGAAGGCCTGGGAGGGCTGGGTATGGGGTGGAGGGGATCATGGGAAAAAATACACACATAATAAAAGAAAATGACAGCCCACTGCATGGGACAACATATTTCTTAATGATTCATTCAATAAGGGGTTAATTTCCAAAATATATAGGTAACTCACACAACATAACTAACAATATAATTTAAAAATGGGAAAGGACCTAAATAGACTCTTCTACAAAGTGGACATAGAGAAGGCCAAGAGACTATGAAAAAATGCTTAAAGTCACTAATTATCCAAGAGATACAAATCAAAATGAATATGAGGTATCACTTCACACCAGTCAGAATGGCTGTCATCAACAAAGAACAAGTTTGGTGAGGATGTGGAGAAAAGGGAATCCTCATGCACTGCTGGTGAAATGTGTACTGGTGCAGCCACTGTGGAAAACACTATTGGAGTTTCCTCAAAAAATTAAAAATGAAACTACCATTTGACCCAGTGATCCCACTTATAGGAATACATACTAAGAAACTAGAAACACAAATCAGAAAGAATATATGCACTTTTATGTTCATAGCAGCACAATTTACAATAGCTAAGATTTGGAAACAACCCAAGTGTCCATCAGCATACGAGTGGATAAAAAAGGTGTGGTATGTTTCCACAGTGGAATACTGCACAGCTATAAAAAAGAAAGAAATTTTTTCTGGGGTAGGATGGTGGAGCAGGTGAACCCAGGCGCCAGTGGCTGTCATTGGGGCAAGCCTCTGGTTGTTATTGAAAATTCTTACCATTTGCAACAGCATAGATGGATATAGAGAGTATTATACTAAGTGAAATAAGCCAATCACAGCATGATAAGTATCACATGATCTCACTCAGAAGTGGGATCTAATGAAGCTGATAAACTGATGAATAAAATAGATCCAGAGACACAGAAGCGTGGAACAGAGTGATGAATTTCAGACTGAAGGTAGAGGTAGGAGGGTGGAAGAAATGTGATTAACTGGGGAACTTATATGCAAATATGCATAACCCATGGACACAGACAATGGAGTGTTGAAGGCCTGGGAGGGCTGGGTATGGGGTGGAGGGGATCATGGGAAAAAATACACACAAACAAACAAAGAGGACATCTGTAATATTTTCAACAATAAAATAAAAATGAATATCAAAAAAGGAGGTTTCAGGCCTCATATGAGAGGTTTCAGTTCTCATAATATAAACAAGTGTAATTTTTCAGTCTATTTAGTGCCACATTTTTTTGGTGAGTTATTGCTTAATATAGCCACCAAGCACAGTGCTGAAGTGTAGTCTGGTGTTCCTAAAAGCAAGGTTGTGATATGGCTTATGGAGAAAATACATGTGTTAGCTGAGCTTCCTTCAGTCGCAAGTTATAGTGCTGCTGGCCATGAATTTATATATTTACCTATATATATGTAAAACCCTAATATGCAAATAGACTGAACGGCAAAACAACTGAACAACCGGTCACTATGATGTGCTCTGACCACCAGGGGGCATGCGCAGAACATGGTGGGCATCAGCAGCAGGTGACAGAGTGCAGAACATGGTAGGAGTCAGCTGGGGCAGGATGGTAGAGCAGGTGAGCCCGGGCACCAGTGGCTGTCATTGGGGCAAGCCTCTGGTTGTTATTGAAAATTCTTTGCTCCTGTGTGTCACAGTCCCGGTCAGCACTTGCACCTGCTGCCAGCACTGGCCCCACTTGCACCTGCTGCTGGCGCCCGGCACTGGCCCCTATCACTTGGCATGTCAGTGGGTCTGAGCAGTGGCTGCTGGCCCCAGTTGCCCCTCAGGGCTTCTCCACTTCCCCCTGCTCCTGGGGGGCAATCAGGATAGCAGCTGCCACTTGCACCTGCTGACAGTACCAGCCTCATCTGCACTGCTGCTCACGCCGACCCCAATTGCTCCAGACTGTCAGCGGGTGCGAGCAGGGCCAGTGCTGTCAGCGCGTGGGAGTGGCAGCAGTGGGACTGGGGCTGCCAGCAGACAGGAGACAGGGGGCCATGGCAGGAGGGGCTGGGCAGGGGGCAGAGGATGGGCTGAGACCTGCACTTGTGCCCACCACAATCTCAAGGCCCACAGTTCCTTTCAAGGTGCACGAATTCATGCACTGGGCCCTGAGTGTATATATAAACATATATTTACACATTTATAAACATATCTTATGTAATAATATAATATATAATATCTAGTATATATTATCCACACTAATAAAAGAGAAACATGCAAATTAACCATCACTCCGTCACTCTGCCACTTTGCTACACCCACCAGCCAATCAGAGCGACTATACAAATTAACCCAACAAAGATGGTGGTTAATTTGCATATGCAGTCACAAAGCAAAGACTAAAGACGACTGGTGATGGTGGAGCTGGAACGAGCAGGAGGCTTGGGTTGCTCCCGGTGATGGAGGAAGCCAAGCTTCCCATCGGCCCTGGACTCCGCTCAAGGAGTGGCTGGGGGCCTGGGTTGTTGGGGGCTCCACTTGAGGAGCTGGAAAAAAGGAGGGGCTGGGAGCAGCCGGAGTGGAGAAGCCAAGCCTCGCTGCTGTGGCTGCAGCAGAGAAGACAAGCCTTGTTGTTGCGGCCAGACCAAAGGCCTGGGTCCCAGGTGCCGGAGGAAAACCGGTGCTGGCAGCCAGGGGAAGAAAGGCCTATTGCGCGAATCTTCGTGCAACAGGCCACTAGTATATTATAATGTATAATTATTATTCATTACGATATAATAAAAGGCATAGGCATTATTTATTAATGTTTAATTTATTGCCAGTAACATTATATCTTATGCCAACATAACAAATCTTTATATCTAACACAAACAAAAACATGTGTATATGAAATAAGGTGTCTTTGAACAGAAACAAACATAAAGCAAGGTTACATATTGATGGGCTTACAAAAATATTTTTATCAGAAATTTGCAGGAACCCACCAGTAAGATTGAGAGATATTTCATATTTATAGTTTCCTACTTCATTAAAACTGTCAATTCTGTTGAGCTAATTCTTTTTTTTTTTTTTTTTTTTTTGCACAGCTCAATGTCTTTATACCCTGGGTCTTGCAGTCCTTGTTAATTTGAATGCTCATATTGTTCAATTGTGTATATTGATCTTTATCTCAATATGAAAACATTGCAGATAAAAGAGAATTGACTGGACTTCCAGGCTCCATATGATACGAGAGCTGCCCTCTGCTCTAGCCTCATCTTGTCTTATGCTCTCCTTCCTCTCTACGCTCCATCAACATGTCTATGGCCTGCTTTGTATATATTGACTCTGTCAAGGTCTTTCCTGACTAACAGCCTTTGTATTTGCTAATCTCCAAGGACAACACTCTGTCCTTAGATCCTTATCTGGCTGAGACCTTCTTATAATTCATTCTCAACAACTCCCCAGAGTATCTCCCTCAACAATCCAACCAAACACAGCTAAACTACCACGTCCTCTTCCCCAAGCAAATTTTTTGTCATATCACCCAGTTTCACTTTCCTCTCTTGATTCAGCACAATCTAAAATGATACCGCTCACTTATTTGTTAACCTATTTTTGATGTAACCCAACCATATGTTATTGCAGTTTGAAGAATGCCAAGCCCCAGTTCTGTTGCTGATATGGAATTGTTACTGGTGAAACCATGAGACCTCAGTTCCTGTCTTCTTGAAAGGAAGATTTCAGTCAAGAGACAAAGTGCAGCAAAGCAAGAATTTATTGGCTGCAGCAAAAACACACTTAGGAAGGTGAAACAAGGAAGAGCATAGACGAAGCAACAGGAGAGCCTGGGCTGGGCTGCTTTGGCTCACTGGGAAGTCAGAGAAAAGGGAGCTTCGGAGACAGGTTCAGGGCGTTAGCTCAGGAAAAGCTGCCACTTCCCATTGCTACCCTGGTTGCAAGTCTCATAGGGTCCCTTAGAGGAAAGAAGGGTGGGGGAGGGAATGGCATGTGTGTACTTCCTGGCGGGAGAATGTGGTCTGGGTCCTTTGCATTCAGGGTATTTATCTCTTTCTTGCAGGTAGGAATATTAGGGGAAGTTTCAGGAGAGGGTCTCAATAGAATAATCAGCTTTCCAGGTATGTCCTTTCAGGGTTGTTGTCTCAACACCAATTGGTTAGAGCCAGGGCGGGGTCAGTAAATTCAGCTGGTCCCGAGGCAGCCAAGGCATCACTTGTCTGGTTTTGCTGATTTTTTGGGCCTCGAACTAAAATACAACTAAGGCCTAGATATTATTCCTAGGAAGGAAAGGTCAAGGGGTCTAAACTGCATGACCAGCTATATGAAAGGTCAGGGGTGCCAAACCACATGACCAGTGTGATATGCTAAGGGAGGAAAGGTTACCCTTGGGGTAAGGTACTTGTTTTCCAAGTTTTGCCCCTTGCTAGGCACCCAGGGTTTCTGCCCTGGAGACCTTCTGTAAAAGACAGAAAAGTCTTGACTAAACCCCAGCAGGAAAATAACTTGTCAAAATCTCAGCAGGAGCAATTTTTAATTCATTAGAACTCTGAATATTACATGCTTGAGTTACCTCTGGAACAAAACTTCATGCATGAATAAATAAATAAATGCAAGAGAAACAAACCAGATGTTTTGTAATCTGTTTTCTCACAGGAACCAGCTAACAGAGGTGAGAAGATGACTGTTACCCCTTTTTCCTGATAAAGGAACTTGGCAATGACAAGAGAACATTCAACAGCCAGAGTGATGTAATCATCTGATCAGACTCAGAGTTTGCAAAATCTTCTGTTCTCATGCCCAGGTTTATTGATTTCTATGTTGCACTATCATACCCCCCTGGAAATTGCTTTGTGAATTATTTATATGTTGGATTGGGAATCTACAGTTTTGGGTCAGGATGGCTGAGTAATGACTGAGGGTCAGCAGGCTGCCAGGGCCTTTTTCTCTGTGTGCAGTGGGTACAGCTTAATCAGTGTGCCATGGTGAGTCCAGTACCCTGTCTCTCCATGGGGCAATGGGATAGTGAGTAAAAGGCACAGAAGGAAAGACCAGACTGTTTTACTGCTAATCACCATTGTGCCGGAGTTTTTCCCCTGACTTTCCTACCTCTGCATATTCATGTACAGTCTCCCAGTTAAATGTCAAAATGTGTAAATAACTTGTTATCACCACCTTTCTCATCTGGCCATTATGTTTCCTCCACAGTCACCTCTCCTCCTCTCTGAATACACTTTTATAATAGCCTCCCTTGACGATGCTGCAATAAAGAAGGCCAAGAGGTAATTGTTGCCACCCAAATAGTTATTTTTTATGCCAAATACAAGCTAGAAATGGGAGTGGAGGTATTGATAAGTGACTATGTTGAAAGGTGGTGTAGGAGAAGAAGAATGAAATAGCAGGAAGAAATGGAGCTGAAAGCAGCATGTTGGTTCAATTCAGTTCAGCAAATAAATTACGGAGTCCCAGGACATGCAGACTTGGCTAAGTTTTAGAAATTAAATAGTGAAAAAGAAGTTGGAAAGTGTGATGATATAATGGGCATGACAGACACATTAACAGATTTTTTTAAATGCAGTAAGTAAAAAGAAATATATTCATTTGGGATGGTACGGGGCATAGAATTACAAACCAGGAGTTTAAAGAAGGTGCTTTGGTGGGGCACAGTGCCCGAACTAAATCTTAAAGGATGAATAAGAGAGTAAATGAGATAGGGTTTAGGTCAAAGCGAATGACATAGGAAAAGGCATGAAGTGAAGGAATCAGGCTATGTAGGAAGCTGGGTCATAAGGCAAAAGACTTTTGTGCTCAGAATTGCAGAATAATCATAATCATGATAAGATGTATATTTTGTAATAATATATAGTTAACATATAACCTTACCTATTCCTGTGATAGGCCTGTGAGCAATGAATACTTTTATTCATAATTTACACAGAAGATTGGGGCTCAAAGAAATTAATTCAGCAAGGAAGACCCAGACCCAGCAGAGTCTCCTGGTTCCATCTCCAGAGCCCTCTCGTATTCATTACTTTTGCTTCTTAACAGAATATTAAACCATTCAAGAGAAAAAGAAAATTGGGGTACCATATAATCTAGTGATTTCCAAAGTTTGAGCATGAGTGGTAAAAAATTAATTTTTAATTTCAATCTAGTCTCTGCCAAAAATATATATAAACAAAAGCATCACAAAACAATACTTAGTATATGTGAGTTTTTCTGATATTTTCTATTATATTCTGTTTATTTTAATTTAAATACAAAAAGCTGGTAACAAACATTAAGTTAATTTCACTACCACTAGACATTTGAGAAACCAGTAATATTCTCAACCAATTAGTTTAGAGAGAATGAAACTGATCCTCTAAGGAAGGAAAGGGCTAGCTGAAGATCACCTGCGAGGTATCTAGATGTTGAAAAGACCAAAAGACATGCCACACAGGTTACAGAGTAAGGCAGTGGTCCATCCTGGCACAGGCTAGCATTAATTGATCTTTTCCCCACGTGTGGTCAATTTAGTAGGCTCTTCCCAATTTCCTTCTCCTCAGAACCTTTATTTCTTCAAAGCTACACACTGTGAATAGCTGGGAGAACCTGACAAGATATCTAAGGAACTCTGTGTTGATTTGAGGAATCCAACAATGTTCTCAGGATTTCTGTTTTAGAATTTAATCAAAATAACTCTAGATTTGTTAGTATTGCTTTGATTCAATTGGTTTTGAGGTTGATTCTTTCTTGTTTCTGCAAAGCCAGAAAAATCTCTTTGATGCAGAAAATTGTAACTGCTTATACTAATGGAAAAGGCCACTGGCTTCTTACTAGCTTTTATTAACTTAGGAAGGGCAGACAAATTTTATGAATAATAAATCTACCAAATTGACAGATGATGTACCAGGGAATTTTAATGCATATCATATTATAGGGTGCATATTTTCATGTTGAAATCCTGTTATTTTACTATTTCTAATTACTTGCCCTTCTTATGGCAATTCCCCATAATTTAATTGTCAAGTATACATCTACAGTGGAAAATAAAAGTTTATACTAGGGCCTGATCATCTATTATTAAACCTGGACTCTGAGTGACAATATAAAGGTTCAGGGGGTTAGTAAAAAAAGCAAAACAAACAAACAAACAAAAACAACAATACACATACAAAAAAAACTGAAAAGAAAAAAAACAGAATGGATTTTACAATGGGAATCTACTTAAAGTAGAACTTAGAGTATTCAGGAACACAATTCAGTATATGGTTTAATGACATCTTTCTACAGAAAATCAACCTCTTTAAAAATTATTCAATCTTCACCTGAGGATATGTATATTGATTTTGAGAGAGAAAGAGAGAGGGGGCGGGGGGGGGGGGGAAACGTTGGTGTCAGAAACACTGATTGTTTGTCTTCTGAATGCGACTGAATCCACAATCTAGGTACGTACCCTGACTAGGAATCAAATTCACAACCTTTTGGTGTATGACATGATGCTCCAACCAACTAAGCCACCTAACCATGGCCAGAGAATCAATCTTGAGAGAAAAGCCTTGGCATTCCTCCAAAGCAAGAGAAATGTATGTGACAACAGTAAGAGATTCCAGAAAACAGATAAATGTTTTAAGCATATGACATGAATTAAGCACAATCCTGCTTGCTTTTTTCACCTTTTTCCCCCTGAGAGTCACTTAGATAATCTAGGCAATGATTGATTACCATGAGGTCTTATCTATATATATAAAAGCCCAAGTGACTGTTATGACTGAATGACGAGAACGACTGGTCTACCAGTCGCTATGATGCGCACTGACCACCAGGGGAGATATGCTCAATGCAGGAGCTGCCTCCTGGTGGTCAGTGTGCTCCTACAGCCAACCTCCTGCAGCCCCTTCCTCCTGCCCCCCACCCCCAAAGGCCCTGATCAGGAGGCCAGCTGGCGAAGCTCCCTCGGGCTGGCCAGCCCCCCTTATAGGCCTTGATTGCCAACCAGGTCGAGGGACCCCACCCATGCATAAATTCATGCACTGGGCCTCTAGTTAACATGTAACATTTTATTAATAACATATACTATATTGAAATATAACATAAGTATATAACATTATATTAACATGTTAGTTCAAGTGTACAACATATTGATTTTATATATGTACTGGTATATATTGAAAAATGATCCCCACAATAAGTCTAATTAACATCTGTCCTGACAAATAGTTACAATTTATTTTCTTGTGATGATAACTTTTAAGATGCTATCAACTTTCAAATACGCAATAGAGTATTATTAGCTATAGTTGTCATGCTGTACATTATATCTCAAGGACTTATGTATTCTATAACTGGAAATTTATACATACAATGTATACATACAATGATACATTATTCAGTCATAAAAGAAGGAAATCCTGCTATTTGCAGCAACATGAGATGGAATTTAAGTGCTAAGTGAAATAAGTCAGACAGAGAAAGACAAATAAGGTATGATCTCATTTATATATGAAATATTTTTTAAAAAAACTCATAGATACAGAGAAACCAAGATGGCGGCATAGGTAAACAACGGAGTTTGCTGCCTTGAACAACCACTTCAAAAATACAACTAAAAGACAAAACGGACATCATCCAGAACCACAGGAAAGCTGGCTGAGTGGAAATTCTACAACTAGAAGGAAAGAGAAAAACACTGAGACTCAGAGGAGGTGCAGTGCGGAAGTGAGATACTAAGGTACAGAGTGCGCTCAGAGCAGGCTGGTGGCTGAGGGCGCGGTTGTCGTTTTCAATCGGGAGGGAGTCTCAGGCTCTGAGCGCCAGTTCCAGGCGAGTCTCTAGGGACCCAGACTCATACAAGAGAAGCAGACCTGTGGGCTCAGG